GCATCGAGCGGCTCCGTTCGCTGTCTTCACTTGTGTAATGCTCGATTTGTAACACGTTACATTACAGGCAAATGTTACAAGTCAGTCGCCACCTTATGTCGAATGCCCCAGTTAAGTGATTATCACTCTAGCATCGTATTAGGAAGTCCTGGTTTATGTTTTGGATGCTGGGACCGCCTGTTCTGAGGCTTTTCGTGGTTTACTTCAGTACTCTTAGCAGTTTGATGCGATCGCTGCTCAGAGACCTCACTCTTTCACTCACTCGCACGCACGCACAATCGCAAGAGTTCATAATCATTTATTGGGTTCATGTCCACTCAGCCCCAAGTAGATCAGACTACCTCCTGCATTGACAGCTACATCTTTTGCATGATCCTGTGTTACTTTGCCTTGGCCATGGCGTCACGCTTTGTAGGGCCCAAAGATGTTGTGGTGACTCAACACCGTGACTAGTTCAGTGCCTGTGAACCCGGTACAGTCTCTGGCAAGTAATAGTAATCCTTTTCTGATACTCAGTTAAAGTCTTACAGCATAACGTATTACAGAAAATTGTCATTAGTCGCGTGTCCATCCTGTAGTGGCAAGGAACCTGCTTACATGGCTCTGGTATTTGTGTGACAAAGTGTGGTTTGGTTCAGATTGGTTTAAGTTATATTCCATTATTTTGTAATGTTGCTGCTGCTGTATGGTTGAGATATCTTACTAATTTTGAAATTTTCTTCTTCGTAGGGCTTGACCTGGCGTCGTCACCATGACGACGGACATATCACTGGTCCGATGGGACCCAACGTTGCAACAGGAGATAGTGGAGGACTATGAATATGATGGGGGCAACTCTTCATCTCGCCTCTTCGAACGATCCCGCATCAAGGCTTTGGCTGGTAAGCAATTTTGTTAGGATATTTTGAAGGTTTTACATTGCAGTACCTTCATATGTGTGCCTATTATATGTAGTGAATTATTTACACTTTTGTCTTTGATCAGTCTACAAGTTAAAGAAACCTGAAACATAAAGCAAAGCTCATTGCTTATATCCTGTATCACACATTTTGTAGAGAGACTTGCTTAATGTTTAGTGAAAGAACTCATTCCTTATCTAGTGTTTTATAAAATTAGCTGTACTGAAATAATGAAATTTGTGTATTTCTTATTTCACACGTCTTATAAACTTCAGAACAATGCAAAGATTGGGGCATTTTACCATTTTAACTGACTTGTGAAATTTAGTGCACTGCAAGAAACTTTAATGCAGGTTGTAAAAGCAAAGGAATCTGTGAACACATCTTTGCTGTGGTTTATTGCTGTGGTGCCACATGGTGATTTCTTTGTGCTTGTGTGAGATTGGAATCCTTAATGTCTCCCGAATGCACTGAAGTCTTAGGCGATCACTTACTTTAGAATGGAGTTATTACCCGGGGTCCGCAGTGGCCGCACGGTCTGAGGCGTGGGGCTTGTGGCGCTTGGTCGCTGGGACCGTGGGTTTGAATCCCACTCGAGCCATGGATGTTTGTCAGCGTTTTTCTGTGTTGGGCTGTCCTGTGTACAGGTAGAGGCCTTGAGATGGGCTGATCCCTCGTCCAAGGAGTCCTACCGAATGTCTATAGATCGAGCTAATGAAGAATTGGGACCCACAGTGCTCAGGCACTCGAAGAACGGGTCGTTCCCAGTATCCAGTATCCCAGTTATAACCCAGTGTTCCAGAGATTTTTTTCCTATGTCATCCAGGTTTATGTAAAGAGTGTTACAACTGCTTGTTTTTATACCCATATTATACCAAATAGTTAACATTTGGGTTTTGAATTCTGTTTGCATAAGGGAGGACCTGACATCTCTAGGCCAGTTTAGGAAGTTGAGTAGGTACAGTTTATTGTATAGATTGAGAATGTGGCAGGATGCTGGTATGCCGTACAGTTTCCTGAAGGTCTGTTTTATCACATACTTATCATGTTGAACCCACTAGCAACTGTTCTGGTTGTTAATTAGATACTAGTGTGTTGCAAGTCCAACATTAGCACTTCCAATGGAAAATGTAGAGGAGTGCTATGATAATGTTGTGCTTGAGTTACGAGGTATGTGATCAGCAGACGTGCTTAATTTTTAATTCAAAATATATGTTTGTTTGGTTTGTGGTCTTATAAAACCGAAGCGGTTGTGGTGTATTTGATGCGTAATATGGAATTTTATGTATAGTTATTTGTGGTTGCATCAGCCCTATCTCAGTTTTGTTATTCATACGTGGCTACAAAATGTGGACCAGGGAGATACAGGTACCATAAGTGTTTGAACTTGTTACTAGCACAGAATAGAGCAAGGTTCATTATATAATAGCACCAAACTTAAAAAGTGAAAATAGAAAATAAGATACTAGTAACTGTTCATTTAAAAAATTTTCAGTATTGTCATTAGGCAGGACCATTTATGAAACTAGTATGTTTTAACATTTTCTTAATTTAATAATATGACATTTTTATGTAAGTAGTAAGCATTTCTAAATTAAAGTGTTTTATTATGTCATAAATCTTGCATTAAATCCAGGATTTAAATAGTAGCATGTAGACAGGCACTATCTCACTTTTTTATAGTGTATTGTATTTTCATGACAGTATGAACAGATACACATTTTATTAGAAAAATAACTTGTCACAAGGAAAAGGAATATAACAAATTATTCTTCCTGTTATATTCTGTAAGTTAAGTGGATATGAAGGGTAAAGTAAATTCAGGAATTATTTCCCAGTAAGATTTCCTAATTTTAATGTGTTTGTGAATGTGAGTATTTATGTTTTTGTGATAGAGAAATTTTGCTGTTGTCCTTTTTCTTCCCACTTTATGAAGTTCATTGATGACCTTTTCTTGTATTTAATGTGATGTAATTGTTGGCAATTTAATCACCTTGTTGAAGAATGTTGAGAGTTGACGAAGCAAATATTTGCTCTTGGTACACTTCTCAGTAGACACCATGGTGGCCTTTATGTAAAGAAACTGGCTGAAGGTAATTATATGCTGTGAATAGATGAGATGTGACCTCTCCTTTCAGTGAGAAGGCTTCTTCCAGGGATTGGAACTTGATTTTGGAATAGGATGTTTCTGTCTACCTTCTTTTCTTTGTTTATGTATAGCTCAGGATTTAAATGATGCAGGATTTTAAAGCTTTTGTGACAGTGTAATGCAATACAACTTGAATAATAAGTGTTTCTATTTATAAATGAACTTCGTTTGTTTCAAAAGCAGGAGGAGGATCTGCAACATATAAATTCAATTAAACCCTGACGATTCTATAGTTTGAGAATACTATAATGAAAACTCTGCATTTCAGGTGTAGCCTAACATGGAACTTCATCATAATAACAATAAGAATAATTAATATTATGTCTGTATTCTTGATTCTTCAGGGAAGAAAAATAATAATTGAAGACATACATGTTGAAACAGTCAAACAAGTACACAGGTTTTTGTTTTTATATGTAGTTTTATATTGGTGTAAAAGTTGGTCTCTTGTCTCGAGCAGAAGAGTACATACGCAGATGATAGTACGCTTTACCAAATATTATTTGGGCCAGCAAATCAGTGAGGATGATATGGACAGAACATGTAGCACGCATGGGAGAAGTGAATTACATTCACAACTTCAACTAAAAAATCAAAGGCTAGAAATAATTTGGGAGATGTAGACAAGGTGGAAGTATAATATTAACATTTATTTTAAAGAAGTAGGATGTGGACTGAATTTATTGGGCTCAGAGTAGGGTCTGTATGTAGGCTTTTGTGAACACAGTAATAATGTTTTGGGTTTAAATTAAATGAGGGGAATTTCTTGGTTAACTGACTGACCCAGTTTCTCAAGGAGGACCCTGCTCCAATGAATTAAAAATACAGAGAACAGTGGATGCTCTGGAGTGAGGATTTCATGCTCTTTATTCTCATAGTGTGTATTACCCTTTCCCCTCACATTGTTTAAAATGTTATATACTCCATGTTGAAGCTCCCTTGAGGAGTTTTAACAAATAGGTAAAAAATATGGGCTGCCCAGAAGAATTAATCAGATTTGTTATTCCTTCTTTTATGTGAAGTCATATTATTTTGACTTTCTTTTGTTGACTATTCTGACATTTGAGTAGAATAGGAAAATTAATCATGAATATTACTGGACAGAGGACTGGAAAGGGTTGAAACCAAAGAGATATTTGATCTGGCCATGTACCATATACCAGAGTAATGAAATTTAACAAGAATTTTACCATATGCGGTTTGGTGTGTGTACTGTTGTATCGTCAGTAAATAAGTATCAACATTGTATATGCAAATTTTAAAAGAATGAAAGAATTTGGAAAACAAGTGTATTAAAAATTTTGGAGTATACCTTTCTGCTCTTGTATCTCACAGGTGAGAATGTTGAGTAAAGGACTGCATTAAAACTGCTGCAGAAGGTATTATATACTGTGACACATGTCATGAAGCATTTTATGTAGACTAATAATTAATTATGTTCAATTAAGTCTCAGGAAATTTATCCAATCTTTTAACTTTCTGTATTACAGACGAACGAGAAAGTGTACAAAAGAAAACGTTCCAGAAATGGGTAAATTCTCATCTCGTACGTGTATCATGTAGGATCAGTGATCTTTATGTTGATCTTCGTGATGGTAAAATGCTGCTTAAACTATTAGAAGTCCTTTCAGGGGAAAGATTGGTAAGTGATGAGATGTGTGTGTGTGTGTGTGCGTGCGTTTGGTCATAAACGCTTGTGATTACTAATATACTGATGGACTAATATTAATAGCTTCAGAAACTTACCAGTGAATTGTTTTCTGCTGCTGTATTCTGATTTATAGCATTGTAATACTGGAGAAATATTTGCTTTTCACTGTATTTTGAATGGCATGCTGTACTTTGTAGAGGTTCTTCTAGATTATTTAATTTATATCTACATAGTTCACTAGAATATTTAGTATTATGTACCATTTGATTATGTATTTCATATTGTATGTGCCTGCAGTTTTCTTTGGATCATTCCTTCTTATATGCCAATTGTGATCATGTCTGGGGCACTGTTGTCATTGTTCCTATACCAATATGAAATAATTTCTATTACTTTCAGCCCTTTTTCGCATGATTTTAGTGATGTCTGTTTTATATGTTGCCATATTTATAGAATTGAAACGTGAAATATGCTACATTTCCGATACATTTATAAATAATTGCCTATAATTCAGATTTTCTGTTATACTACCTTAGCATAGGTGTTGCCTTTTTTCCTTACACTTAGTTCTTTTACACAATGAGCATCAATGTTTTTGTTGTGTGATTCATGTATGTATTTTTTTTTTTTTTCCTTTCATAGCCTCGTCCCACAAAAGGTAAGATGCGTATTCACTGTCTTGAGAATGTAGACAAAGCCTTACAGTTCCTGCGGGAACAGAGGGTTCACCTGGAGAACATGGGTTCACATGACATTGTGGATGGCAATCCACGTCTGAGCTTGGGACTGATATGGACAATCATTCTTAGGTTCCAGGTATGGTATACCATCATATATACTGTCACAATGTTGTCAAACTATTTATTTTAAATCTAAGTCCATAAAGAATAATGGTACAAGAGTTACAGACACAACTTGTAAAATCTACTTTGTATACTGTGTGGACTTCCAGTCGTATAGATTTTGTGTTATTAATGTTATAATTATATTTAGGTAGAATTTATGGATTAGAGCGTTAAGCATAAATAAGATCTCACTCAGTTCAGTGCAATTTTGATGTTACCTCCAGTGACATAATGGTCATGCTGAAATTGACAAGTTATTTCAAGAGTTGAAAGGGAGTGAAACAGCATTATGTTCTCATTAGCGTACATAATGTTCATTCTCATATGGAATCAAGTAGATTGGTTGATGATTGTTTATTTTTAAACATGACCTTAGGGTGAGATTTCAGTTTCTCATGGCAATGAAAGTAATAATATTGTTCTTGGTTGTGACACTATGGATTTTTAGGTGTTTTTCTCTGACACAGAATAACAAGATTTCTGTTCTGAGAATGGTACCTATCAGTACAGTTTTCTTTGTTTGTAGTTTGTCACTATCCCAAACTGAAAATGTCAATCACTGCACAAATATTTCATCCATACATTCTTCCCTTTTACAAAAGCCCATTATAACATCAATTTTATCAGATTGGAAGGTAAATGTGCACTTTCCATAGTTCTTTTGTTAATTTTTGTGATGCCATAAGTTAGTCTTTCCTTATAAAATTAGGGAAACAGTATACATTACTGATGTGGTGAACTCTTCTGCAGATACAAGACATTACAATAGAAGAGACAGATAATCAAGAGACTAAGTCTGCCAAGGATGCATTATTGCTGTGGTGTCAGATGAAGACTGCTGGTTACCACAATGTGAATGTCCGCAACTTCACCACATCATGGCGTGATGGCTTGGCTTTCAATGCCATTATCCACAAACATCGCCCTGATCTAATACAGTTTGAGAAATTGTCCAAATCTAATGCAATATACAACCTGAACAATGCTTTCAATGTTGCGGAGGAGAAGCTTGGACTTACGAAGCTTCTTGATGCAGAAGGTAAATTTAATTTGCATGCTTGTTTTTTATTATACTCTTATTAAGGCTGAAAATAAACTGATGTTAATAATTGTGGGTTATATGCAGTTTAATAATTTTCCTTGAGATTCTTATTTTGCAGCAAAGTCGTATATATATCATGACTCTCATTCCATGGGAAAGTAAAATACATTTTTAAAATATTTACTCTAGCTTTGTATCATGTGTTTAGTAACAACATTGTCATTTTGAGAATTTGCTAATTTTGTGGTAAAATGTTTGGTAACTTAGCAGTTACTTGTAGCCTTCAAGAGCTTACTGTTGCTTTCTATGACTCTTGTTCAACTAATAAATGCATTTTTGTCTTGCTTATTTTATATTTCTAATAAATTCTGTGTTCTCAGACATTTTTGTGGATCACCCTGATGAGAAGTCAATCATCACATATGTTGTAACATACTACCATTACTTTAGCAAGATGAAGCAAGAAACAGTTCAAGGGAAGCGAATTGGCAAGGTTGTAGGTATTGCCATGGAAAATGACCGTATGGTGCAGGAATATGAGGGTCTGACTTCAGATCTTCTACGTTGGATCGAGGCCACCATCACTGCTCTTCGTGAGCGTGACTTTGCCAATTCCCTTGCCGGTGTGCAAGCACAACTAACACAGTTCAATACATACCGCACAGTTGAAAAACCCCCAAAGTAAGTGGTGAAATTGTGTTTTGATAAGAACGTAATCATGTTTGTAAAATATTATATGTGTAACTGCTGTTTCATTTTGTGTTCATAGTAGTTGATGTTTGTATACAGGTTTGTGGAGAAGGGCAACCTGGAAGTGTTGCTGTTCACGTTGCAGTCTCGAATGAGAGCTAACAATCAAAAGCCATACACACCAAAGGAAGGGAAGATGATCTCTGACATTAATAAGGCCTGGGAGCGACTTGAAAAAGCAGAGCATGAAAGGCAAGCTATTGCACCACAAATCTCCAGATTCACTTAAACTCATGCCTTCTGCTGTTCTGTAAGGCATATATATAACATTTACTTTCTAGTTGTATTCACTGCTGCTTTGTGTTTAGTACGTCCTGAATTAATGTGTCAGTCCAGATGTTGGAACTGAGATTTTTTGTGGTGGTCGTCAGTAGTTCCAGGCATGTAACCTTAATTAGATTGTGAATACACATTTCCAGATTAATTCTAATTCATCATTCACACAGTTGTTCTACCATTCAGCGTATCATAACCTGAGCATGTGATGAAGTGTTGCCAAGTAACTAAAAGTTGATAGGTCACATTATTCTGTATGATCTTTACAGAGCACTTATTCTGAAGGATACATTTTACTGTTTGAGAAGGAAACTTTACTTGTTTATT